TTATTAAGTAAAGAACTTGTGTCGCTTAAGTTTCGTCGGAACGAAGTTACGGAAAATCAGTTAACAAACGGAGACGTAACAATATTATTTATTACCCGTAAGTAAAGCTTTCTAATCTTTCGAAAAATCATGTCAAAATTTTCTTAATAATAATAATATTATTATTATTATTATAGAAACAGGATGAAAAGGTTGAATGTCGAGAAGAAGAACAAAGAAAACTCCAGTATTATTGGGGGAAATGTTTGAGAATATCGGTCTGTCCTTGCGGTTTTCAGTTCAAAATTGTGCTTTTATGTTGTGTTACTACTTATTAAATCATATTTGTATTATGTGTAAGGATATAGATTGTATAATACTGTGCCATCAGCTGACATGTACTCTGTTTAGTTAGCCCTCTGTGTTTTGTTATTGTTTTACAGTAACTACTGTTACAGATATGTACTTCACAACACAGTGAAATTGGCACCAAGTTTTACAATTTTAACCGTGAAAAGTGAGACAAGATAAATATTTTTGGACTATGACATCCAAACAACGTTCACAACTGTAGGTGTGCTGTAAAACAACAGTAGACGGTACGATGAGAATAGTAAAAGTGCTCGAGCATGGAAGGAACGTTTTTCACACGTGGTTAACTCAACAAATTCGCACTTTTTTCCTGCACATTTTATAGGATTGGTCATATCTAACCTTCTGTTACTTATGTTTGAAACCTATTTTTGTTCTGTGAGGAACTGCTCCCTTAACAACACAGTATGTAAAAGACTAAAATTTAAATGATGATAAATTATTTTGGCCTTGGATACGTTTCAGTTGTTTCCAGTGGATACAGAATACGAGATACACAAGCGTACAGGAAATGTCTGTAAAAGATAAGTCGTGAACACGTCTACAGAAACCTTTTACGGCTACACGTTTTAAACAGATAGAATGAAAAATGATTCCTAAAACAGTGTTACATCGATCATTTTAATATTTATTCTTTCCTTCGTTGCATTTATCGCTGTTTCTTTTTCTGGTGAAATAAGTTTGTCGTTGTCAGATTATTTTGTATAATAGTTTGTTGTCGTCAGATTATTTTGTATAATAGTTTGTCGTCGTCAGATTATTTTGTACCTAAATTTAGTTTCAAAAAAGGAATATAGGACAAACTTTTACACTTTTAGTCTGGGGGAATATAACGCTACAAATAGAGCTCAATACCTGTGATGGGTACAGCACAGTTAGCCCACTGCTTTGCGCTTCACAACAAACAAACTTCGTAAATTAAAAAAATATTTTTATAACTTATTTTCATTGTCAGACTGCACAACAAACACATATTTAAGACATTGCATTTTTTTTTATCGTACTGTAAGTTCTGTTTGTTTGTTGTTAAGCGCAAGGTTACACAATGGGCTATTTATGCGGAGCCCATTACGAGTATTGAAACCCAGTTTTTTTAGTGTCATAAAGCGTCAGCTTTACCGCTGGCCCGGCATGGCCAGGTGACTAGGGCGCTCGACTTGCAATCTGAGGGTCGCGGGTTCGAATCCCCGTCCCACCAAACAGCCGTGTGGGCGTTATAATGTGATGGTCAATCCCACTATTCGTTGATAAAAGAGTAGCCCAAGAGTTGGCGGTGGGTGGTGATGACTAACTGCCTTCTCTCTAGTCTTACACTGCTAAATTAGGGACGGCTGGCGCAGATAGCCCTCGTGTAGCTTTGCGCGAAATTCATAACAAACAAACAACTTTTCGAATCGCTTTAATATCCTTACCGAAACTTTTGTATACGATATATCTTTTTTACACGAACTTTTGACTCAAAGAAGTATTCAACATGTAATATGAATTATTATATTGCTTACAACGCTATAATCCGGGTTTCGATACCCGTGGTGGGCAGAGCACAGATAGCCCATTGTGTAGCTTTGTGCTTAATTACAAACATAGATTATTCTATTGCTTCATATTACAGATGTACAATTTGCAAATATTATACAACGTCAGTAAAACCATTATTATTATAATTTAGCTGATATTATATGACTAGCTACCATTTTTATTCAGTTGTTCATTCCTAGACATTATTAATAATGTCCTTTCGCTTTTTGTAGGACCCATCACACGCATATATTGTAACTTTAGTCAATCTGAAGAGAAAATCATTGTATACTTGCACTACAGTTATGTTCACGCGTGTTCTGAAGAATGATCACTTAGTTAGTTCAGGTTTGCAACTTTTTCTAGGAATGTTTTCCACGTGACTATAGGTAATTTAGTTCGGTTGGATAAACACTTATAACTTCACGAGGGAGGAAATCTTCTATGTGATAATTTTACATTCCACACGAGGTTACAGCGAATCCAATGAATATATATATATATCGAGGAACCTCACGAATGTCCCAGTGTTTGCTAGACGCCCTCTTTTTTAGTATATAAGCCAGCGATAGATAGATGTGCAGATAGATTGAAGATAGAGATAATTGAGTCAAGCGAACAGTAGGCACCGTAAGTAAAGAGTGTGAATTACTGTGATTTATAGCGTGTGTTATAAAGGTTGTTAAGTTTAAAGTGACTGTGGAAAATAAGTGCATTACAAAGTTGTATCGAGAAAGAATAAACTAGTTTTAATCAAGAAGGGACTTGTATCGCTGAAGTCACTCGGAAGAATTTTTACCGGAAATTATCAAACAAGCAGATACATAACAATATATATATTTATACTTCTGTTTTATGTTTATATAACTGCTTTGTTTTCAAATTGCTTATAATACAAATAACCTGTTTATCATTTATTTTAATTTTGTTTAAAACACTGGGGTAACTTACTACTATCTCAGCGTTATCTGAAGTGACTTTCTGCAATTAAATTTCTATACACTTATAGCAATTTCGTAAAATAAGTAAATATACAAAACCTATCTAATATGAACTAGAATATATTGTATTATGGATTCACTCAGTGTTACTTTTACACTTTCAGCTTAAACAGGAGCTAATGGAAAAACATACTGGTGATGAATCAAAGCACAGTCATTGCACAGATAATCAGCAGCAGATCCCCAGTCGAGGTACCCTCACCGGTGCTCATCCAGGTGAAGGGTGGGCCAAGCAGTGAACACCAGGTCAACACCACTAACAGGTGAATATGCTCTCGTTCGATATTTTGAATATTCATTATGCATTCGGCTGGTATCTTTTCACTATCTCATCGCACTCAAACCTATGTACTCGCTCTATACTTATGTCAAATCCAGAGAGACGCCTTTGCTGCCTTCAACCATACCTCTTTCGCCACTTTCCTCTTGGCTTTTCCACATACGCTAACCTTGCCCAGAAAAGCAGCAAAAGACTTGCCTACATATTTTCTGCACCCTACTTTAATCGCGAGACAGAGGGTCATCCAGCCTCTTACTGTATAAACACCAACTATCTCAGAATACTTGGTGGTTTTTGTACTCGTGTACTACACCAATACTCTCTTCCCACAAAACTGTTAACTTGTCCAACACGACTGTTTTCTTCTTCTTTGACCACAATAAAATATCGGGTCTAAGGTCAGTATCCGCGATCACCTGCGAGAATACCATTGTGTGTCTAAGTCCACTGATAACTTCTAGTCGTTACCTGTTAATAGGATGCTGCTTTGTACTCTTTTTTTCAATGTTTTTTTCCCTTTTTCTCCTCATACAAATTCAGTTACAGGGCCAGCTGTCCAGTTACTCTCTTCCTTAATCATCTCGTCCACTTCCTCATCTAGTACTTTATTGATTCTCTCCAGAAACAGATTTTTTCCCCACATTTGTGGCACTTCTTCTCGATTGTTGTTTTCTATTTACGTAAGTTATGGGGTGATGTTAAAAGGTCATATGTGACATCAGCAGGAGACCTAAGCACCAATGGCTCCACCGACCAGATTTCAGACCACAGTAACCGTTTAGGCTCTACCTCTTCCCACAATATCCACTGTCCCTGTTGGGATATATCAACTAATTCCTTCCCATAATATCCTCTATCCCAATTGGGATATATCAGTTACTTTCTTCCCATAATATCCACTGTCTCTGTTGGGATATATCAGCTTCTTTGGCCACTTGTCTTTCGTCTTCACATTGATTTGTCACGTCACCAACCACCTTTTTCTTCTGAGCTTCAGAGGCACTTCCAAACCATATCATTGGTTTCATACAGAGTTTGGCTCACCCCATCTGGACTGCTCCAACAATATCTGTTATTTTCAGGTGCTCTTCGATATCTTCCACTGCTTCCATTCAATTCTACTTTCGTCCTGCTCTTGTGACTGGTAAGACACTATGTATTACCAGGTCTTTGGATTCACACAGAGTAAGATAAAATTGCGACTTCAGAACCTTGTATTTTTCAGTAAGGACTTCGAATTATGGGCATAAAATGCAATGTTAGATAGACATGGAGAGACTCTAATTCATCACCTAATATATTTAGAAATTAGTCTCTCCATTCCCTTTTTCTTGGTCATTGGGATGACATACATCATCGTTGGCCACATGATTTTTGGATATAGACCGAAATTCAAACACCAAAGCTTCAAAGTGCCTGGGAAGAGGGATTTGCTGTTATGTTTTAACCCCTCTTCCACTTTACTTCTCACTTTGATGGGTCGTTCAGTATCAGTTAGGGCTGAAGTGTACAGCCTTCCCAAACTTTTTATTGGCTCTTCTGCCACTGTGGGTATTTACTCTTCACTCATCCATGAATGCATGGATAGAAGGAAAGGGATTGACCTGGAGCTATACTAATTCTTGTTCCCTTTAGCCTTGTTACTCTGACAGTTACTTCCATAGTCATGATAAGAGAAAGGGCGAAACTACACATCCTATTAGGATACCGACTTCCAGCTGTTGATGTGCTGTCAAGCATTCTCTAGTCATAAATCTCATCTGGAAACTTTCATAATATTCAGTAAGATATTTTGCAAATTTTCCAGGATATAGAAAAAACCATGGCTATGTTTAATGTGGCGTTGCTCCATAAGCACTAGCAAGATACAATCACACAAATGATAGGTCCCTAATTTTTTTCCTTTGGCTCTTGAATGTTAAACCATATTGTTATATATCTGCTTGTTTGTTAATTTCTGGTATAAAATCTTTCCGAGGAACTTCAGCGATACAAGTCCCTTTTTGACTAAAACTAGTTTATTCTTTCTCGATACAAACTTTGTAATACACAGAATTTCCACAGTCAATATGTTTTCGTCACTTTGAACTTAACAACTTTTATAATACACACTATAAATAACAGTGATTCACACACTTTACTTACCGTCACTACTGTTCACTTCTTTAATTATCTATCTCTATATCTATCTATATCGCTGGCTTTCTTTGCCTGGCTTATATACTAAAAAAGAGATCGTCTAGCAAACACTCGGACATTCGCGGGGTTCCCCGATAATTAGAGAAACTCCAGCGCGCATGCTCCCAGCATCACGCGATTTCCGCTGTCGAAACAATATTTTTGCAGCATGCTCCATGCATCCAGAAACCTGGTATTCCTGCCTTCTGCTCTAATATGTATCCATTTAACAACAAAAACGAAGAGAGTTGTGCCGCCAACACACTCATCATGATCTTCCCGTCCACATCAAGTAATGATATGGGACAGAAATCACTAATCCCTTATGCATTCTCAAGTTTTGGAATGTAGACTCCCTCTGTCTTACTCTATTCAAGTAGTTGCCATAGTCATAGTCTCCTTCTGATCCAAAGAAACATCTTGAACATTTTGTTAGGGACTCCGTTAGGGCCAAGATAATACCTTGTCTTAGCTTTTCTTTTCACGCTCGCCACCTCCCAAAGCTTTGGTGGTGGAACATCCAGTGTAATATCAGGTGGTGTTGGTCTTACCAGACCTGCCATTTACAGCAATCCATCATTTTTTCTACAGTCTGTGTATGTCTTTCTCAGATCTTCGTCTCTTTCTTGTTTACTCACATTAAGCTCATTTGCTTTTGCTTTATCGAATAGGTTCTTGACTAACATGAGCAGATCCTCCAAGAACATTCTCCTCTTGTGGGATTGATTTTGCTTTCTTCCTTTTCTTCATGTTCACTGCCTTCCTGAGACTCTTCAAACGTTTTCGATGCCACAGTCAAATATCGTCAATAGCAATCATTTCTACATGATCAACTCTTTTCTTTGCATCCTTCCACCTTTTTGGTTCTTCTGACATCGACTTCTTTTCGGTTCATCATAAACCAACTTGATGTTTTCTTCCACCAACCCAAATTTCTCGTTAGTGTATTCGTAGATTGTGTTATTCAGAAGAGTCAATTGCCATCTTGCTGTTCCTCATATGACACAGACCAATATTATGTATTTGTCTCTAACATATTGTTTTACAATACGTTTTTAGTTTGCAAGTGATCTCAAATATTAAATATGAGCTCTCTGGTCAATGATTGTTATTTGTTATGTTATTTGTATAGCTATAAATTCACAAAGAAAAATGCCATTTAATGGCACACTATGATTATGTTACTGGAAAAGGAATGAAATTGTAACCTACAATGAGGTACCACCCAGAGGGAAGGCAGCCAGTAGTACCCACCCCCACAGAGCTTTGTCAAGCTCATTTAACTGAATAACCAAATTGACTGTCACATTTATAAATTTACACTGTTGAAAGTGTGGAGCATGTTCAGTGGTATCTCATCTCCAACCAAGGATCTTCAAGTCTGATCTGCAAACCGCCATGCTAACCACTAAGCCACGTCATAGGTAGAGAATGATAATGAACTTAATAACATGTACATTATGGCATCCTGGTATCAGAAGTTCTGTGTTATTTAACAAAAAGGTTGACAGAAAGTTTTCAAATGGTCAAGCCTGTATATTTGTTATTATTTCTTGTTAACACTCGTTGTTTCTAAAAGACAATTACAACAGATGAAATAGAATACTCAACCTTGGCTTAGTTATTACATTTTATTCCCGAAATATCAAAACTTCGTGCAGTAATGATAAATGCAGATGATAACTGGTTGGATGGAAGAACTCAAATGAATTCTGAATACGTTAAGTTAAAATATAATATGGAAATCAGCAAGTCTCGTGACAACCACAGCCGATATAAAGTATCAGTGGAATGGGGTGTATCAGAACTACATTTTGACATTGATTATCGTTTGAGGCATAGTGTAATGTCACTGAAGATTGATCACTTTTGAGAAGGTTATGCAATAACCCCTTCCAATACAAAATATTCATACAATCAGATCATAAAGATGTGTTTATATCGAAGATTTAGAATGTACAAGACGAGCATATTCTTGTATTCAATGGTTTTTCTGTTTGTTTGTTGTTAAGCAGAAAGCTACACAATGAGCTATCTGTGTTGTGCCCACCATGGGCATTTAAACCGGTTTTTAGCATTATAAGCCTTCAGTTTGCATGCTAATTCACTATGGGCTACTTAATGACAATGAAAAACAAAGGAATATGAATCAAATTCGGAAACCAGGATCATCCAAAAAGTGACCTGCAAGAAGTCACACACCAGCTGAATTAAGCAAAGTGTGTTGTCTTATAACTGGTGAGAATCCATAAATACAAAGTATAGAGTAAAAAAACCATCCACATGCCTCAGGCAACAGTATGCAAACTAATCAAAAAGCATGGGTATGTTTGTAAAAGTGACCCAAGTTTTTTGGTTTTTAGTGCAAAGCTACACAAAAGACTATCTATGCTATGTCCACTCTAATGAATCAAAACCTGGCTTTTAGCATAGTAAGTTTGCAAACATACCGATGACCTACCAGGAAACATAACACAGGTCACGTGTACTCAAGTTTCTTCCATGACATATCAGTTCAACCATCACGTACCGCAAGCAACTGAAAAATAAACCGGTGTTTATACTATTCTATACAAAACATATCACCCAAGTCGCCAGATGCAGAATCTATGGATTTCTGTGTGATCAGACTGTTGAAACAGGCGTTGGTAAGCTGTCGTCCTCGAACAATAGATGGATTATAGAAAGCGGCAGGGAGGAGGGGTATGCTTTGATGTTGACAAACTTATGAAGGAGCCTGTTGCAATGGAGACTATATGGTCTTCAAATAGAACATGACCAGGCATAGAGATATGGACTGTAACG